TTTCATTAAGGACAATTTAGAAATTTCTTACTTATAATTTCGATTTTATCTTAATGTGTCATAATAATAGGAGAGCATAAATTTGGATATTGTCCATAATCATCTAACAAAGAGAGATGTTAGAGAACGTAGAATGTATGATATCTCTTGTAAACTTATTTTTATCATAGTGAATTACTACTAGAAGAGAACATAGTCTCCAATTACAGATACAGGGGGAGGCTAGACTATAAAAAATTATGTGATTTTCTTTTTTTTGAACATATTAGCCCAACTTAAAAAAAAATTACTCCAATCCTAAATCCGCATATTGAGAAGAACTTCTATAAATCTTGTGTGTCATAGTGTTTATCTTTTTCTTTGCAATTGATTGCTCTCGATAAAATGGAATTAGGGTTTCTGATTCTCAACCCTCTAAAATTGAAGGATAGAGGTTATTCATTGACATTTTTACTCCACGAAATGTGGGATCATATATGTCTGATCTTGAAACTGGTCAAGTTTACAATGTGAATGGTTTGAATGAAGTTGTGGCCAGTAATACAGAGGACCGACTGCAAAAAGTAATGGAAGCTCAGGTAATCACTGAGGACGAAGTGAAAGAGTTTGAAGCCTGGAACGACTCTCTTTAGATTGTTCCAGCCATCAAGAAACTTAGAGCACACACAGAAAGAATTAGGGCTTTTGAGCTTGAAAAATATTCGTCAAAAATTGGTGACAATATTCCAAAGAACCGAAAGAAAACCATTTAAGAACTTAGCCCTTGTCTGGTTTTGATAGAATTATAATTGAAATTAATTGTTAATTTTAACTTAAGAATTTTAGTAGGTTTAATTTATATCAAACAGAGGCTTAGTGTAGTAGTCGTCAATAAATTACTACACAGCCCAATGTAACATTTGTAATGCGATCACACAACAAATTAGAATCTAAGGGTGCCTTTGATTGTAAGGGTGGAAAGGAAATGTTTTACAGGGAGAAAATTTGCCTACAAAATATTTTGCAGAGAAAATGATTTNAGGTTTTGATGGCATGCTTTCTATTCCTATTTTGTGCTTATGTTGCATATCTAAGTTTGCCGGTCGCATGTGTGGGGTAGGCTGCCTTGGGGGTCCATGGAACCTCAAGGGCCGAACGGGAGGTTCGTTACAAGGTGCTTTGGAAGAATAAAGTCCTTGCTTGAGCCTCGTTTTATAAAAAACTCGAGGCCCGTATGGTTTGTTTTTCGATTTTGATTTTTGAGTTCATTTTCGTTTTTGGTTTTGAGTGTCTATTTTAAGAATTTTAAAAAGATTTTTAATTTGTTATTTTGAAAAATCATTTCTTAAAACTAAAAATTGGAAACATGCTTGATTTGAAATTTTGAAAATCGTTTCATAACATTTTATTTTATTGAGCCCATTTTTAGGAATAATGTATGTTTAAATAGTAATTTTTTAGAAAATATGTGGTAAAAAATAAGAAAAAAATTTGGATTTACATGTAAATTTGTTTTATAAAAAAATGAATGGTTGAAAAAAATAGAAGCCAAGCATAGGCTGAATTTGATTATTCAACAAAAATAGAACAAATTTATGTTAATATATTAGCAAGTATTACATACATTTTAAAGTTAGCGACTCTTAGGGTGCGTTTGATTGAAAGGGTGGAAAATGGGTAGAAAGAAAATGTTTTACAGGAAAAAGATTTGTCTAGAAAATGTTTTGTAGGGAAAATGATTTCAAGTGTGTTTGATTGGTATAATTTTCCACCCGAAAAATTTGTAAATTTTCTATAAATTTGGCTTTATTTTAAATGGAAACTGTCCATTAAAGTGATATTTTTTTCCACAATTGGTTATAAAATTTGTTTCCACTGCCAAAAAGTAAAAAAAAAAGAAAAAAAAATTGTTTCCTAAAAAATCATTTTTTTAATCAAAGTTTGGTATTCGTTTGACTTTATTTTACGTGAAAATTGTCCATTAAAGTGAAAAAAAATTTCACAATTGATTATGATATTTGTTTTAATTTCCAAAAAAAAAAAATTGCTTCAACCGGTTGGAAAATATTTTCAAGAAAAACCAAGAAAATGCTAACGTGGCGGGTGGGGAGGGAAAATATTTTTCGGAGAAAATTGGGACTATCAAACAGCTCAAAAGATGGAAAACGGAAAATATTTTCCTACTTCCCTTAAAAATTTAGCCAATCAAACGCGCCTTAAGTAAGATACGGGAAAATATGCATGCTCTTAACACGAAAGTTAACCTCTCTACTCGATTTTATAGAGTAGTTTGAATACAATGAGTTTGGTACAAATACGAAAACTTATTTGTCAAGCTCGTTCCTCAAAAATCATGTCATTTTCTTGCTTTAAGTTGAAATTTGAATTTTAAATATTACGAAATAAAAGAAAAATATTTGTTAAGAAAATTTTACAAGAAATACTACTTTTTTTTATTTTCTTTACCTCAGAAATTTTCTTAACTTCTACATCAGTACAATAATTATTAAACTATAAACAGAAAATTAGTGCAATAATTATTATTATTTGTCAAATGCATTTTATACATTTTTGTATTTATTATTTTTTTCAATTAAATGAATGAGAACTACTTGATAAAAAAATTACCATCTCTATTATGTAATGTAACCCAAAAAGATTTTTTTTTTTTTAAGTAACAATACATAACTACTACGCTATAACTATCACATATCAAAACTAAGAAACTTGACAAATTATTTCAAAAATCAGGTATTGCCCTACACACCCCTAGAAAACTTTTAGAAATTGAAAACCTCTTCTCGTATTACACCCCACCCTTAGAAAATTTTAGAAATTTAAAACATTTTCTAGAGATAACACCTTACGCACGAACTAACTGTGTTATCCGTGATCAAATTTATCGTCTGTGATCAGACCTATGTTATATGTGATTAACTGTGACCACATTTTTTTTTAAGTGTGACCATCTATAACCGTCTAATTTGTCAATGTATGTAACCAATATGTGACTAACACTGAACAAGTTTGTTTTCAGTGCAACTAAATTGTGACAGATTTATCATAATTGTGACTGTCTATGATTGTCTTGTGACTGTATATAATCAAGTCACTAAAATGTGTTATCTGTGATTAACTAATGATTAAATTTGTCTTCAGTATGACTAAATGTGCCCAAATTTGTCTATCTGTAATCAGGCCTATCTTAACTGTGACGGTATGTAAGAAAGTGACAATTAACACATAATTGGTGACAATTAATCACAATAAACACATACTTCGTCACCAAGGGTCACCACAAACAAATATGTACACATCGTAAACCAACACCACAATCCACCACTAGCACCTCCAATGTACTACCGCTACAACCTTTCAACTCAAAACAACAACCATAAGTACCAACTTTACCTCAAATTCACAACGACAATCACCACCACCATCACCTTCAATAAATCCCAACCACCACATCACCATTGATATCACCGTACCACCACCACATGTAGATTGCGTTGTTGCAGCTGCAAGTAGCAACGCGTGGCGAAGCAGACCCACCGTGCCACTTTGACTCCACCACAAACATGACCACCTCAACCTCCTCTACAAACTCCGACCAACATTTCAGCCTAATTCTATCCCGAACACACCGAAATCAAGCAAAAAACCAATAGATGCTGACTGTTTTTTGGGTGGCACCACTTTCTACGGCGATGCTCATATCGGTACCACCAGAAGGGCCTCTATTTATGGTCTTATATCATCAAACAACCCACACAATCCAAATTTTCAAATATGTTCTTCACACCCAGTGAACACGCATCCCCACACCATATTGCATCTATTAATGTGAAGATAAACCACCTGATTTTCACCTAGAAACCGGGCTCAGAATACCTTAATCGAACACCAC